CGTTCAGCTTCAGGTCGTATTGAGTGCACATCCCATCCATTCCTCCGCAGAACAATTGGTAGCAGTAATTGCTTTTGTCGACGACACACATGTTCATCACCGCTCGCGAACCTAACCATCAATAGGTGATCAAAGAGATCATGAGATCATTGACACATTGGGATGAGTGGTAAGCAAAGACAAACCGGTGTCGTAGTGAGTGATTAGTCTGGCTTTGCATGAGTTGGTGGACTTGTCGTAGACCAGCTCATAGACCTCGAGGGTGTTAGCGATGCCAGTCTTAGCGGGTCCGCCACCACCGGCCACCAGAATGTGCCGCTCAGACAGTGTCCGCACGCAATACATGGGGTAATTGACCCTGGCCAGTAGGTGACTCCACTCAGACATACTCTGACCACTTAAGGACTAAGAGATGCAGACAATTATCCTCACAAATGGCTAAATGTCTGCAATTTATTGATCCGATTATGAAGTGATTATTAACTTTGAAAGACACGTCAGTTTGTATCCATTGGTTGCTATGGTTTCATAAACTCTCACAACAATCACGGCTTTCACTGAAATGCTGAACATTTTGCAGTGATTTTCATGTCATTTGAAATTAAAATTAGTTTTAATTCACTATTAATGCTATATTTGTGACAAACAGTCGTATAATTAGATGATATTTATTCATGAATTCAATGATCAAACAAATGGTCATATCTTAGGACACATTTATGCACAACAGCTATGCTTTCAATTGAATATAAAAATACATTTTAAATCAATTTAAGACAATTAACGTTCAATTACAAACACTTATCCATTCACTGGACTCACAAGTCTTAACCAATCAATGGCTTCGATGTCTAATATCTATGATAAGGTCTTTGGTTGTAATCGGGTCTACGGTTGTGATCATATGAGTTGCGGTACGAGTGGCCACCTCTTCCTCCACCACCTCCTCCTCTGCCATATCCGCCAAACCTATCATTACTTCGAAATCGATCTCTATTTCTATTTTTGCCGAAATATCCCCAAAGAATGGGTGGTCTAAGAGCTGGTCTATCC